TGTGGACAATCTCCAGCATTATCAAATTAGAATTTTCTCAATAGAACATTTCCTAATATTTTTCCTGTTAATGTGTTTAGGTAACTTATTACCCAGACACTGTGGCAGATGCTTAACATGTATGATTTTGTTTAAGCACCATACCTGTTACACACATTTTACAGATTGAAGTAGAGGCTTGCCCTAGATCACATAGCTAGCAGAGCTGGGATTCTGTCCTCTCTGCCTCGGCCAGTCTTGAGCCTAGAACTCCATTTGTCCATTCTGCTTTCATTTCCATGGTCCCCCACCCCCACAGGTGGAAAGTAAATTCCATTTGAATCCTGTCCTCATAGGTCAAGCTGAAATGGATGGGCCCACAATAAGTTAAAATTTCCATCTTGTGAATACTTTATGATCTTTATTTGTTTTCTTGATGTTGGTTGATGTGTTTACTCATGGGTTAACCCTGCCTGGCATCTGCATTCAGAGAGGAAGCTTGTGGAGCAGCTGTCGTTTTAAACTAGTATTGGGCACTCACTCCGGTTTCTCAGTCTGGCTGGACCGAGGACATTCCTGATTGGTCTTGAGAGCAGCTCTGCAACATAATTGATACGTAAAGTGCTAGCCAACCTATCACCAGCAGAATCTTCTGAAAGCATTTTGAAGCTTTTAATTAAATGTTTATGATAGGGAGATGAGAGTAGCTGTTTTTTTCTTCAAAAGTACATGGATTTATATAGAATGATGAATAAATTTAATCAATAATTTTTTTTTTTTTGGTTTTTCTCCGGTACCAGGAACCGAACTCAGGACCTTGCGCTTGCCAGGCAGGCGCTTTTGCCACTGAGCTAAATCCCCAGCACCTTAATCAATAATATTGATACAGGTGTCTTGGGTACTTTTCTCTCATTGCTGAGACAAAATACCTGACACCCAAAATTAAGGAAGGGAAGGTTTATTTAGCTCACAGTTTGTAGAGCTTTCAGTCCATACTCAGCTAGCTCCAAGGCAGAGTGGCACATGGCAGAGGGTAACTGTTCATGGTGGCAGAAAACAGGAAAAGCAAAAAGAGCAAAAGGGAAGAGCAGTGGCAAGCAGCCTTTTCCCCTCCTTTACGTTGTATGCAAACTACCCACCCCAGGGCAGGTATAGCACTCACATCCGTAATCCCAACATTGGACCATGAATCAGTCATAAACTCTAGAAGCCCACCTCATGACTAAATGAGGCTTTGGGGAGACATCCAGACCAAACCATAACAACAGGTGACTAGGGTAAAATAAGACCCATATGATTAAAGCCTTGGCAACACTGAAGTAGATTATTCTAGTCCCCCACTCTTAATTGGTCATGCTATACGTGGTCTTCAGACTCTGACAGTGAACCTTGATTTAGAATGTGATCCACTCAGTTGATCACCAAGTCATTGCCAGTCATCAGCCTACATTCCCTGCTCTGACAGGGCTCATGCATTTCTGGAAGAGGGAGATAAGTGGAGTCTGTTGTAATAGATATATTTCCCCCCACAAGAACTGGGGTTTGAACCCAGAACCTCACACATTGCTAGGCAAGTCCTAGCCCCTTTATTTTATTTTAAATTTTTTATTTTATTGTGATTACATATGTGTGACACGTAATGAATACACTCATCATGGAGAGTTGGTACGTATACATATTGCATCTTACTCCTTTTTACTTCCCATACTTCTCTGCTCGATCCCTTTTATTTTTTCATTTTGAGCCAGGGCCTTGCCAAGTTGTGCAGGTGAGATAGAACTCTCAGTCCTCCTGCTTTAGACGCCAAGTAGCGGGTTATAGGCGTGCGTCCCTGTGCTGGGCTCATCATCCATTTTGAGCAGTTTGTCGTGTGCCTTGATGAGGTTTTTTTTTCATGTTTCTTGTGCTTGGTGTTCATTAGGATTTTGAATCTGTGGGTTTATAATTTTTGGTGAGTTTTGAAATTTTTCAGCTATTCTACAAATACCTTTGTCTCCTCTCTCATCTCGCTTTCAGGGACTCCAGTTATATACCAGGTCCCTTGAAGTCGTGTCATAGTTCAGTGATGCTCTAGTCATTTTTAGAATTGTTTCCTTTTCTCCCTGTTTCATTTTGGAATGTTTCTGTTGCTGTATTTTCAATTTTATTAGTCTTTTCCTCTGCAGTGTCTGCTCTGGCATTCACTTCACCTAATGTATTTTTTAATCCTGGAAGGATTTAGTTCTAGAAATGAATTCAGTTTTCATTTCTAGAAGGTTTGGATCTTTTTCTTCTGTCTTCCATTTCTCTATTCAGTGTTTGGAACATACGGAGTACAACTCTAAGAACCATAATGTTCCTATCTGCTAATTCTCAGATCTGTGTCAGTTCAGGGTTAGTTTTGATTTCTCTCCTTTGTTCTGATTATATTCTTTTGTTGCATGTCTGATAATTATTTATTGAATGTGATTGTAACTTGTACCTTTTCAGGTGTTAGATATTTTTATATGACCAGAAATATGTTTGAGTTTTGTTTTGAAATACCGCTAAATTACTTGAAAACAGTTTGACCCTCCTAGATCTTGCTTTTTAAGACTTCAGAGGGAACACTAGAACAGGGTTTAGTCTAGGATTAATTATTCCCATCAGTGAAGCAGGATGCTTCTAAGAATGCCACCCAATGCTCTGTGAATTATAAGATTTTTCAGCCGGGCATGGTGGCACATTCCTGTAATCTCAGCACTCAGGAGGCTGAGACAGGAGGATTACCATGACTTCAAGGCCAGCCTGAACTAATAGTGAGAAAAACCAAAAAACAAAAATTTTCCTGTTCAACCCTGTACGAAGTCTAGGGCTTGATTTTTTTCATTGCTTCTTTGTGCTTCTTTCCCAGGCCTTGGGCATTTCATTACTCAAGTGTGTCGATCAGTAGCTTATTGGACACTTGAGGGAACCTTCTTTGTACCCCTACAGTTCTCTCTGTGCACTTTTATCTGATTCTTTGCCCTGTGGAATTGTGCTACTTTAGTCTCCACAGAATCTTGGCTTCGTCTCCTCAATTTGGGGGGCATTATAGTTTAGATATGAAGTATCCCCCAAAGACTTATGTGAGGCAGTCCTGCTATGCTTGATCCCCAGTACAGCAGTGTTCAGAGATGGGACCTCAAGAGGTGACTGGGCTATGAGGGTACTAGCTTTGTCAGTGGATTAAGCCACTGATGGGTTCAGAGCTGAGCGGATTATTTAGGAGCCAGTCTCCAGTTGGAGGAAACGGGTCACTGGGGCTGTGCTTTTGCAAGCTCTTGGCATCATCTTCAATTTGGAGGGCATGGTGGTGTAGCTATGAACTATTCCCCCAAAGACTTGTGTATTGAGCTTTTGATCCCCGGTGCAGCAGTGTTCAGAGGTGTCTCTGACCCTGGCTCCAGCTCTGGCTCTTTCTCTGTCTTTCTGCTTCCTGGCCGGCATGAGGTGAGCAGCTTTCCTCTGCCATAATGTGTCTCCCTTGAACCCAATCAAGCATGGCCTGAAACCTCTGAAACCGTGAGCCAGAGACCTGCTGCTAAGGTATACAAGGTATTTTGTCCCAGCAGTGAGAAGCTCACTAGCGTTACAGAGTGTCTGCTGGGTTCCACTCAGGGTTTCCCTCTCGTTAGTCAGCTCAGGACACTAAGAAAATAGACAGGTTAAGGTAAACAGCAGAAATTTACATTCTCATAGTTCTGGGGCTACAATTCTGAGATCAAGGTGAAGAAGCTATATAGGCTGCAGATTTGGAGACTGACAGTCCAAGATTTGACAGCCCCCCTGTGTTCAGCCTCTGATGCAGGCACCCTCACTGCATCACAATACAGTGGAGAAGCAGAAAGGGAAGCAGCTGTGTATGGAAGGGGCCAAGCCTTTTGGAGTAGTCTTGCTGTGTAACTACCAGCGCTCTCTCCCTAACTTACCCTATGAAACCAGCATTAATCCCTTCCAAGGGTGGAACCCCCATAACCCATCCAGCTCTCCCTGCCTCTTACAGATTCTGCCACTTTAACAACACCGTGCAGGGGACTGTGCTTCCAGCACCTGAGCCCTTTGGGGAATAAACTGTATCCAGACTGTAGTGGCCGCCTCCTTGCTTGTGGCCTTTCCTCTGTGCTTGTGTGAAGAGAGCAGTGGCATCTCCCCTTCCTCTCATAAGGACCCTACTCTCATTGGGCCAGGGCCCCACTCTTGTGACCTCTTTGCAATCTTAATTACCTCCTTACAGGCCCATTCTCCAAATACAGTCACGTTGGAGACTAGGGCTTCAGCGTATGACTTCAGGGGTATGTCTCAGGGTATAGCCTCCTCCTTTATCTGAGGTCTGGAAACTCTGAAGGCAGTAAGCCAGACCAACCCTAGGGCTCCCCTCTCGCGTGTCTCAGAAATCACTATCTACCCTTGCTTGATGTTTTAAAAACTGTTGGCTCGTAAGAGTTTGTCTAGTTTCTGGCTGCTTCCACTGGGGAGTCTGTCTTGAGGCTGCTTGTGAAATGGTATCCAGACTATGAGCATTTCCTGTGTGTATATTTTGCTGTTGTGTATTGTTTGGTTTTGACACATAACATCTTCACTATTGAAAGCAACACCTTTTAAACTGTAGATTACAAAGATTTGCCAGGGATTTAATCAGCTTTCACGGAACCAGGGGCTTGCAGCATCACCGGGCTACAGAGTATTTAGCATTAGGTAAAGTGCAGCCTCTGTTCAGATACAGGCAGGGTGCATTGGCATCCCCACTTGTCCTTGCTACACCAAATCGTTTTGATGCCTACTGATTGATTTTCAAGTGTGCAAATATATACCGTTTAGAGCCACAGCCCAAGGAGGCAGCTAGGAGATAATTCAAGGCGGGTTGACTTTTAATCAATACAATGACAGTATTATCTTGTTTAATTCGTGTGATGGTGGTTTTAAACATCAAATCAAGCAGTTTATTATGTCAAAAAAGATGAAGGAACACAGGAATAAAATTCTCCTGACTCACTTCTGTGCATATTTCCCTGCCCTGACAGGCCATCATGATCGGGGATGATATCGTGGGTGATGTCGGCGGTGCCCAGAGGTGTGGAATGAGAGCCCTGCTGGTGCGCACCGGCAAGTTCAGGTCAGTGCCGGTGGCCGGGTCATTTGTCTGCTCTTCTCCATAGAGGCCTAGGGAGGCCATGTTCTTGGTTTTTTGCTTTCAAAACAAAAAAGGCTTTTCTTTCAAAATACCTGAGCAGTGTCTTAATCCCTTTCCCATTACTGGGACAAAATACTCAACACCCACAACCTGGAAAGAGAGGGTTTCTTCATTTTTGTAGATTGATTTGTTCGATTGTATGACCAGCATTCCAAGGAAGAGCTGACTTTATGCATAGGCAGAAAAGCAGCTCCTAGAGATGAGAGGTTTATTTTAGCTCACAGTTTCAGTCCATGGGTGGCTGGCTGCAAGGCAGAGGAGCATGGAGGAAGGGCCTGGAGGAGGAAGTCTGCTCACTGCATAGTGATCCGGAAGCCTCGAATACAACCTTCCAGGCCATGCCCCCAGTAACCCTGCCTCTTCCAGCTAGGGCCCTTCTCCTAACGGCACATTCAGCTGTGAACCCACCAGTGGATGCATCTCCCGATGAGTACAGCACCTGCAGAATCCAGTCACCCCCTAAACACGTGAGCCATTTGGGAGACATTGTAGCTCTAAACTTTAATGTGCAGTTCTGTGGACACTCACTGCCTTGCCTGTAACTGACTTCTAAGGAAGGGCTGACTGACCTTGCTAGCAGAAATCACATTTCTTCCTGGCTTGATGTCCAGTGGTAAGGCAGAGTCTTGATACAAGGTCTGGGACTTGGAACATGAATACATGTAAAGTGCAAAGATAATAAGGCAATGTATTCAGAGCCTTCACTGTGGTGGTCACCAGTGGTGACCCTCAGCTCTACTAGCCATCCTCTTTCTTCTTTTTCTCTGCCTTCTCTGGCCCATGAGGGGCAGAAAACCTGGAGACCACAGACCAGTATGTCAGGGATGCTCAAGAACAGGACCTCCATCTGACCCGCTGAGGGTCAGCAGTTGTGGATACGTGAAGCTGCCCAGGCTTTGGTTCACATGGCCTTTGAGAATGTCTTAGGCGTCAGAGCGTTGCCTTGTCTATGCTAGATGGATCTGATTGTACCCTTCAGGGAAAGTACAGATTTGCAGGTTTTTGGTTAAAACATGGTCACCCAACAACTGGGATCTCATCTTATTAAAAAGCTTTTGCACAGCAAAAGAAATCACCAACAGAGGGGGTTGGGGATTTAGCTCAGTGGCACAGTGCCTGCCTGGCAAGCACAAGGTCGTGAGTTCGATTCCCGGTACCAAAAAAAACAAAAAAAAAAAAAAAAAAAAAAAAAAGAAATCACCAACAGAGTAAAAAAAACCCAGTGGGAAAATATCTTAACCAGTTGCTCCTTAGACAAAGGAGTAATATCTAGAACATATAAAAAACTGAAAAAAAATCAGATCCCCTAATTTCAAAGACCCAATCCAAAAATGGGCATCTGAGATGACTCAGATGAAAGAAAATGAAATACAAATGACAAATAAATGCATGAAAAATGTTCAGCATCACTAGTCATTCGAGAGATGCAAATTAAAACAGCACTGAAATTACATCTCATGTAAGAATGGCTATTATCAAAAAAATCAACCAGTAACAAATGCTGGTGGTGCTATGGGGAAAAGGGAACCCTTCTCCACTGTTGATGGGACTGTAGACTGGTGCAACCACTGTAGAAATCAGTGTGGAGATTCCTCAAAAAACTAGAACTAGCCAGGTGTGATGGCACACATCTATAATCCCAGCACTCGGGAGGCTGAGGCAGGAGGATCATTGTGAGTTTGAGACCGACCTGGGCTACAGAGGGAGCTGAAGGCCAGCCTGAACTGCACGTGAGACCCTGTCTCAAAAAAAAAAAAAAAAAAAAAAGAACTAGGACTAGAGGTCCCATTTGACCCACCCCCTATTCCCCTTCTTGGTATCTTCCCAAAAGAATTAAAAGCATCATACCACCGCAATATATGTGCACCTGTGGTTATAGTGGCACAGTTTGTGACAGATAAATCTTGGAAACAACCCAGATATCCATCAACCAATGAACAGATAAAAAAGATGTGGGTTTTTATATTTAATGGAGTACTACTCTACCATAAAGAAGGATAAACTTGAGACATTTATTGCTAGATGGATGGACCTTGTGACCATACTTTAAATGTAATAAATAGGACACACATGTAAATATTGCATTGTCTCTCTGGTGTGTGAAACTGAAAGTGTAAATAAGAACTAAGTTGTACAATAGATATTGAGAAAGAAGAATTTGTTCAGAAGGAAAGGGGACCTAGGGAGGGGGGAGGGGGAAAGGAAGGAAGGGAAAAGAAAAAATGAGACAAGAAGGATAAAATGGAAACAAAGCTTCAGAAATAAGGAAGGGAAGAGGGATTGAAGGGAGGGGAATGGAAGGGGAAAAAGGACAAATCAAGATCTATCATGTGCAGGTACAGATTCCCTGTGAAGCATGTGATCATTGTAGACACCTAAATTGTACCAATAAATTTAATTAAATTTTTTTAAAAAATGGTCACCCAGGGGACGTGGGTTTGGGCGTGGGAAGGAGGTCAGTCACATTTTAACTGAGTGATCTGCTTGGGCAAGGTCAGAATTAATTAGAAGCCTGACTCCTTCTCTGGGATCTCTCCTAGATGAGGCACCCGAGGGCCCTGCGGGTTTGGAGTCATAGGTGAACAGCCAGGATCTGAGGTCAAGAAACCCAGTCCCTTCTGGTCACGCGCACCCTCTCAGAGTGCGGCCCCCTTTGAAGCTTCAGCACTCCTGAGATGCGGGCCTCCTTTCTTTCCCAGGCCCTGAAGTGGGTAGTCTGGCTCCCCTAGTTGTGTCTGGCCTATAGGAATGAGGAAGACCCCATTCTCAAGCCACAGAAGCATTCTCTCTGAGAGGCCAGCCCAGGGCCCTGTCTTTGTCTGTGCTGCTATAACAGTACCTAAACTAGGTAACTCTCACCATTCTGGAAGCTGGGAAGTCTACACCAAGGCGCCAACAGGTTCTTTTTCTGGTTCCAAGATAGCACCTACTAGCCGGGCGTGGTGGCACACACTTGTAATCCCAGCACTCCAAAGGCTGAGGCAGGAGAATCACAGCAAGTTTCAGGCCAGTCTGGGTTACATAATGAGTTCAAGGCCACCCTGCACTATAAAGTGAGATTCTGTCTCAAAAAAAAAAAAAAAAAAGAAAAAAGCAAGATAACACCTAGTTACTGTGTCTTCCAGAGAGGGGAGAATATTGTGTCCTCTCGTGGCAGAAGAGAGAAGCCCTTCTAATAACGCTGTTAATCCTATGACCAGACACCTTCTAAAAGGCCCACTTTCCCACACTTAGCATTGGGAGCTAAGTTTTCAAGAACTTAATTTTGGGGGACCTGTTCAGACTATAGCAAGGCCTCGAAGCCCCTAGTCTCACCTTCGCCTCAGAGTTTCAGAGCCTGACCTGGCTGTTGCTCCCAGGCAAGGAGCTCCTGGCTGAGATGGAACTTGGCACCCCGCGAGTGCGTGGCACCTGTCACTCTTGCACAGTACTGCCCCGTGGAGGCCCTGCGTGAGCTTAGTGTGCATCTGACTTCTGGTGTGGTGTGCCTGAGCAGAAGATGAAACGTAGGACCTGTGAATCTTGTGCACAGGGCTTCTTCTGGTTTGTTGTAGGAAAATATATTATCTTTCTTGATTAAATGTCTTCGTTTGGAATCTTCTTGACCTGCACAAGACAGGTGCCCCTATTCACTGAGAAAGCACTGGCCTTGTGCTTTGCCCACGCGTGCCGCTAGATGGCAGGGTCTGAAGAAAGTCCCACCCACAGTAGGGAGCTTGACAGACAAGCAAGTGAGCATGCGGAGGCTGTGCCTCGCCCACACGGCCAGGAGTTAACCCTTTTCAGAGTCCAGTTACCTGCGTCACATTTAAAGGAGAGTGCAGGAAGGTCGCCGAATGTGGCTTGACTAGTATGCACAAAGCCCTGGGTTCCATCCCCAGCACTGCATACACGTACACACACACACACACACACACAAAGTAAATGTTGTCTACCTAAAGGAGTTTTCTCCTGGAGAGAGAAATTCCATGCACAGTTTGCCAAATCCTTCGAGGCGTGCATAGTGCTGGTGTTTGGGTTTTTTCATTTTATGAAAATGGGATTATACTGTTTTGCAACCTGCAGGTTGTTTTTCTCTTCTTGAACATGTTTTACGGCATCTTTCCTGGTCAGTCTTCTTCTCTGTAAACACCTGACAGCATGCTACCTGTAAGTACTCACTCCAGTGCTTCGTGCACACAGCAGCCTTTGTTTTTGGCCAGCAGTGATGCTGGTGCTGCTGTCGGGTGAGTGATTTCCGTCTGGCCCCCAGGTACAGTTGCATTGCCCTGGTTGGAGAGAATGGGACTTGCCTGACTTTTGCTTGTATGTCAGGATGCAGATCTGCCTTAGTTGTCCTGCAGGATGGAGGGACAAGAGTCTTGGTTCGGGTAAGGTAGGGACTGAGTCACCCATCAGGAGGCGAAGGGGCAGAAAAGGAAGGCAGGTCCTGTGTGTGTGAGCACATGTACAAGGGACAAATCCCCCAGCAAGTGCTGACTCTCTCGGGCCTCGCTGTCCAATACAGTGGCCACAAGCTTCAGGTGGCAACCAAGTGCTTGAAATGCAGCTGATCCAAATGGGATACGCCGAAAGGGTGAACTTCATGCCAGGTTTCAGAGACCACGTAGGAAATAGAGTGTGACCGAGCTCATCAGTAATTTCTGTATTAATGTTTTCTATATCATTGTTGGTTGAAATGTCAACACTGTACGTTCATTTCACCCGTTTCTGTACTTTTTATTAGTGTGGTTCTGTGGCTGGAGTTGGCCTCCTCCAGGGGAAGGTGCCTCGTCCTTGCACTACCCCTTTCTCCCTCCAGATGGCACTGTAGGCGCATGGACGCACCCTCATGAGGCCTGCTGCACTGCATGGCTTGGACAGCAGGCTACAGGGCCAGCTGTGTGCTCCCTAGCGGTGATAGGACTCACTTATTTGGGGAC